TTTTTTATCTGTTAATTAGGGCCGGGAGGAAAGTATTGTTGGGTTGGTTCCCTACCTGCGTTTTCCCTGCCCCACCCACCCTTTGCATGCATTTCCGAGTTGGTACAGTGCCACGTCAGCAGTGCCACGTCAGCAGTGCCACGTCAGCAACAGTGCCACGTCAGCAGTGCCACATCAGCAGTGCCACGTCGGTCACAGTGCCACGTCAGCAACAGTGCCACATCAGCAGTGCCACGTCAGCCACAGTGCCAAGTCAGCATGACGGGTCCAGCAATGGGCCTGCCAGGCCAACTGGCCAACGAGTCCATTGCCGACTACAAACAGCGTTTCCAGGCTCAGCTCGCTTTCATCGAGGCTGAGGAACAACGCCAGCTGGCAGCCGAGGCTGCCCGCCTACAGGCTGAAGCAGCGGCAACAGCAGAGAAGCTGCGGCTACAGGCCGAAGCAGACGCAGATGCCCAGGCTCGYCGCAAGGAAGCCCAGGATCTGCTGCAGCGACATGAAGCCAACAGCATCGAGAGACTCAAGTTCTGGCACTTTGAACCGAACGGCGACGACGCAACACCGGAAGAGCAGCATAAGGAGTTCCTCTTCAAACTCGTGACACGGTTGTTGTATGCTTGCAACTACCAACGGTCCGAGTTAGAGAGACAAAACCAGGAACTGCAGCAACAGTACCAGGATCTGAAGACACAGCACCAGGAGTTGGCGAACCTCTACCGGATAGTGCAGAGCCACGAGGATGCAACACGGGCACTAAATTCCCGTGTACTGGACCTGGAACAGGCTGTACCAGGACCAGATGCTAGAGCTTCCAGCAGTGCACCGTCTAGCCGCCAACTGGAGGAACGCGTTGACCACGTAGTGATCGCGGCAGTGCCCGATCTGGACTTACCATTCACGCATCTACGCCGTGAGTTCTACAACAGGTCATGCGCTGCGCTGAGCCAGGCACTTGGTGATCGTGAGCAGTATGCAACTTTCGCCGAGATCATTGACAAGGCGAGAGAAATCATCAAGACCAACAGGGCAGCTGCACACAAGAAGTCAACGTGGCAGCCGACCTATGTGGAGAAGGTAAAGACTGGTCCGCGACCGCAGCACTTCGCTGCAGTCCAAGGCGAAACCAGCATCGCAGGCCGGAAATGGACAGCCAGCACCATGGGTCAAGTTTAGCTTGACCGAGGCGGAGTACAAGTACCGCGGCCGCTACAGCTGCTGCTACTGGTGCAGCAGCACCAAGCACAAGACCTCCCTTTGCCAGGATCAGGCCAAGGAGGATGTGCGACCCCGTCTCAACTCGAGAAACTGAGTTTCGCGGGAGGTGAGGCGACTCCACCTTCCACTCCGCCAGATTCGGCCGCCTTGCTAGCGGCCTCCTGCACATCCGGGGAGGATGCGAATGTCGTAAGTTCTCGGTACACTTACGAGGACTATGCTGTCCACTTGGTTCCAACGCTGGACCAACCGCTCCATGTGCAACAATCAACCGCATGCACGGTTTCGTCACCATCGGCAAACGATTTGGCAGCTTCACCGCCATCTATCACCGGGGATTCGACGTCATGGTCAAGACTTGAAGAGCTCGACCCGTTGACGTTCGCGGACTTCCAATGGATGCCCGTTCCCCCGTCCGGTCGATTGCTGAAACCGCATCGCAACTTGCTCATGGCACGATTGCGGGATTACTTGCACACTGTAATACCGACTCCATTGATGGACGCCGGAGTAGAGGTTGTCGACCTTCATGCCTACATTGCGAAGATCGACCGTGAGTTCAAGACGCAACGGTACGACGACATCGACGCACCATTGCTATATGTACGCATTCAGATCGGAGAAGCGACCTGCAGCGCTTTGATCGATTGCGGAGCATCTCGCAACTACATCAGCCAGGACTTCATGGTGCGCGCCGGCCTTGGCCCACACGTCCGAAGGAAGCCCCATCCTACGCAAGTCACGTTGGCGGACGGTCACACTCACAAGTCAATCGACCGGTGCATTGATGACGTCCCAGTGTACTTTGCCCCTCACGCAAGTGAGGCGGTGTCCTTTGACATTCTGGACACCAAATTTGACATGATCTTGGGCATGTCATGGCTGCGAAGCGAACATCACCCGGTGAACTTCTATAACCGCACCGTTCACATTCGTGATCGGAACGAAATACTAGTCCCATGCATGGTGCCTCTTCCTCATCCTTCGATCAGCTGCCACGTGGTGTCCGCCGCAAGCATGCGAGCATCCATCATCAGAGACGACATCCAGGAGATGGGGGTGTGTTTTCTCCACGCCCTCCCGCCCCATGACGCTTCATCAACGGACTCTTCTTCGGATCCACGCATCACCGAACTTCTCGACGCCTACAGCGACGTGTTCGAAGGCCCGCATGGAGTAGTACCGGATCGGCCCATCCGCCACGAGATCATCCTCGAGGACGGGGCCGTACTTCCGCGTGGTTGCATCTACCGAATGAGCGAGGAAGAGTTAAGTGTGCTTCGGGCACAACTCGACGACCTTCTGGAGAAAGGCTGGATTCGGCCTAGCTCATCGCCATACGGTGCTCCTGTTCTCTTCGTCCGGAAGAAGAACAAGGATTTGCGGTTGTGCATCGATTATCGCAAGCTCAACGCGCAGAAGATCAGAAACGCCGGCCCTCTCCCACGCATCAACGACCTTCTCGAGCGACTGGGCGGCACCAAGTTCTTCTCCAAGCTCTATCTCAAATCGGGATATCACCAACTCGAGATTCGGCAAGAGGATCGCTACAAGACCGCGTTTAAGACGCGATATGGGCATTTCGAATGGCTGGTTATGCCATTTGGCCTTACGAATGCCCCAGCCACTTTCCAAGCGGCTATGACAATGGAGTTCCGACACATGCTAGATCGATACGTACTTATCTATCTCGACGAGATTCTGGTGTACAGTCGGAGTTTAGACGAGCATGTGGAACACCTGCCCACCGTTTTGGAGCGGCTACGACAAGCCAAGTACAAAGCCAACCGCAACAAGTGCGAATTCGCGGGGCAGGAGTTGGAGTACTTGGGACACTATGTGACGCCGCAAGGCATCCGTCCGCTCGCGGACAAGATCGAGGCCCTACGAGTATGGGCCGAACCCACCATCACCACGGAAGTTCGTTCATTCATGGGATTGGCGGGCTACTATCAGCGATTCGTCACCGGATACTTGAGGATTGCTGCACCTATGACGAGATTACAATCGCCAAAGGTGCCATTCGTATTCGATGACGAAGCACGCCGGTATATTCCAAGCACTTAAGACGGCCATGCTCATGGCACCCGTCCTTAGCATCTATGACCCCACCCTGCCGACGAGAGTGACTACGGACGCTTCCGGCTACGGCATTGGGGCAGTCTTGGAACAACACGACGGCGACGACTGGCACCCTGTGGAGTATTTCAGCCACAAAGTGCCTCCCATCAACTCGCTTGATGATGCAAGGAAGAAGGAGCTGCTCGCATTCGTCATGGCTCTCAAGCGATGGCGACACTTGCTCCTTGGGCGTCGTAGGTTCACATGGGTTATGGACAACAATCCATTGACCTACTACAAGACGCAGGATACGGTGAGCAGCACGATTGGACGATGGATGTACTTCATCGACCAATTTGACTTCACACCGAAACATTTTTCCTGGCCTCTCAAATCGCGCAGCAGATGCACTCTCACGAAGACCTGATCTTTGCGCTATGACATATCATGCCTTTGCATTCGACGAGGAGCTTCAGCGACACTTCATCCGGGGATATGAGTCTGATCCGGACTTCGCCACGTTGTACGCACAACTATCTTCGGATCACCCGCCGGCTAGCAACTATCGCATTGCCGACGGGTACTTGCTCCTCCACTCGAGAGGCAAGGACTTATTGTGTGTCCCACGAGACCGTCGTCTTCGGACTCGCCTTCTCAGAGAGTTCCATGACTTGCGACTCGCCGGCCATTTCGGAGTCAACTGCACTATTGCACGGCTTCGACAACGATTCCGATGGCCCGACCTCATTACCTATGTCACTCAGTATTGCGACTCTTGCGAAGTTTGCCGACGCAGCAAACCCCGCAACCGCAATCCCTATGGCGAGCTACGCCCGATGCCTATCCCACGGGAACCCGGTCTCTACGTTGCCATGGACGTCACCAGTCCGTTCCCTCGTGACCGGCTCGGGCACAACGACATCCTCACGGTTGTGCACCGATTGAGTAAGTACGAGCGTTTTCTCCCTTGCAAGTACTACTCCACGGCCCCCGAGCAAGCACACCTCCTGCACACCGGTTGGATTTGTGGCCACGGTGTACCAGAAGACATTGTCAGCGACCGCGACACTCGCTTCATGTCAACATTTTGGACTGCACTCATGCAGGAGTCCGGCACGAAGATGAAACCAAGTTCGGCTCGGCATCCACAGACGGACGGGCAAACGGAGCGGGCACATCAAA